TCCTCCTCCTCCTCCTCCTCCTCCTCCTCCGGTCGAGGTCGATGTTCATACAGACTTGATGGTGCCGCCGACGGCTCCTTATGCTAGATACACCGTCGAGGACCTTCTTGCTCAGCGAGGCAGAGAAGGTTTACCAGTGGTAGACCCCGACCGACCAGAAGGCCCTTTCTGGTATGTTTCATTTTTAACAATATTTTTAATTTATAATACCATATAAATATTTAATGATTTTAAATTGTTTTTGTTCAATTCAGGTTTGGGGTTGACGGTTGTGTCACAAAGAGCGTCACCGAGGAAATCAAAGGATATTTTTCCGATCCTCATCCAAATTGGAAAACGACGTCGGACCACGTCTGAAAGACGTGGTTCAAAATGTTCGATGTAAGTGATTATTAATTTTAATTATTAATTAAGATTTTTAAGATATTTGGGATTAATTGTTAATTAATGTAATATCTTTTTTTTTTACAGCAAAAATAATGTTGGTCCATGCGAGTGAACGAGAAGGTGAAGAAATCTTTTGTCCAGAAGGCAAAAGTGCCGACACGGTGTCCAACTGGAAGGACGATTATCTGGTCGACTGTTATGAACACGGGAAACCCACTGAGCTCACAACGTTTGTGTGGGATGGCCTCATACGTTATTGGAGCTTGCCATCGTCGATCAGAGTCTCCAACAACTGCTCCTCTTCCCGTCTGACGAAAGATGAGCAGTGGAAACACTCCGATGCTTCACTCTCCGAGTCAAAAACTTCATGCTGGTGTCCGTCTAGGGATGGTAAATATATATTTAAATTAATTTAATTACTTTTTTTATTATATATATTATAAATAATTAATATGTTTTAATTGATTAATTGTTTTTAATAATATGGCCAAAGAGAGGGGACATATACCATCTCTTAAGGAGCTTTACGAGAGGACCCACAAGAACAAAGCTGGGAAATTTGTAGATCCTAGGTCCGAGAAAATCTACAACGACGTTGTTGCTCGGGTTGAACAGCGCAAAACCCAGCTGACCCAGCAGTCACCCGATGGGATACCCGTCACATTATCCACAGCTGAAGTGGATCAAATTTACGAGGTAATTTTTTATTACTATTATTCATTTCCTCATATTTAACTTTTTATTATTAAGCTAACATTAATTTTTGCTTTTTTAAAAGGTACTCCCTAAGAAAAAGGGACGTAGACTGGGTATCGGTTCCGTTAACGATGTCCCAAGAGCAACATCGGCTTATGCTCAGCGACAGGAAGATGAGACGGCTCAGCTGCGTTCGGAGTTGAACGCGATGCGTTCTGATTTGAGCACGAGGCAAGCTCAAATGGGATCACTCGAGGGTTTCCTGGACGTTGTAGGGGCTGAAAATCCGCAATTGGAGATGCTGTTAGCTGCGAGATGGAGACAATTGGATATTCCAATCCCCGACGGTCAGGACGAAACGAGCACAAGAAACGATGACGGCGAGCCACTCCTAGTTCTTTTTTGTTTATTTTGTTGTAATATAAATTTAAAACTTAAATATTTTGAAAATGTTTTTCGTTTTCATCTATTATTTAATTCTATTTTTTTAATAATTTATTTTTATACTTTATTATAATTAATTATCAAATTATAAAAAATTAAGTTTCCAAGTATATTCGTCGTAACGTTTACGTGGAATTAACTACGAAAATTAACTAGGCGTTTACGAGGAAATAATTATGTGTAACTAACGACGAAACTTAACTACGCTTTTACAAGGTAACATTTACGTGTTATTACGAGGAAACATTTAGCGTGTATATTACGTAGAATACCTAGCGTGTCTTTTACGAGGAAAAGTAAGCACGGATTTACGAGGAAACATTTCTTCGTAAGATAGCAAGGAAATATGCGTTACAAAAAACGTGTCACGACGTTTCCTGTTTCGTCGTTGTTTCCTCGTAAAGCTTCATTTACGAGGAAACATAGACGGAAACGGCTCTCGCTTATTATAAGTTTTCTTGTAGTGTATAATTAATACAATTACAACATTATTTTAAGTCTATAAACTAGTATTTATAACAATAAATCTCAGTGGAATTATTTATGGTATATTAAACGAATTAATTGATAACTAGGTGACCCACCCGCACCCTGTGCGGGTATAAAAGTATAGTATAATGTTGAGACATGAGTATCTATTGAGTTCAAATGTGGGAGTTAGTGGAACAAGTGAGAGTTTCAATGCTAAGACAAGATTTGCGCAAATCTCTAGGATGTAGTAGGGGTGGACAAATCGTTACTTTTTCGGTTTGGTTTGTTTAGTTCGGTTTTAATATATTTTTTTCAACTAAAATAAACCTTATTTATTCTGGTTCAGTGTGGTTTATGTCCAGTTCAATTTATATTCAGTTCGGTTTGTTTTTGGATCGGTTTAATTAGGCTCTTTGTCGCTTAATATTTAAAAGAAAAATTATGTTTTAAAACATATAAACATAAAGTATGTGAACTAAATTCAATATTAAACTGAAACAAAAACTAAAAAAGTCACAAAAGTATATAAGAATAAAACAAATGAAAGTTAACTAAAGTAAAAAAAATTAACATCATTAGTATGTTTTTAATAAAAGTTAACTATTAAAAAACAAATGTAAGAAAAATATACAGGAGGCAGAGACATATTAAAAAATATGATATCACAATCCCATAGAAAATGTGATAAAAATTATGTTTTAAAACATATACACATAAAGTATGTGAACTAAATTCAATATTAAACTGAAACAAAAACTAAAAAAAAGTATATAAGAATAAAACAATTTCAAATCCGTATGAGAGTGCTCATTTAATTAATCTATGAAAGTTAACTAAAGTAAAAAAAAATTAACATCATTAGTATGTTTTTAATAAAAGTTAACTATTAAAAAACAAATGTAAGAAAAATATACAGGAGACATAGACATATTAAAAAATGTGATAAAAATCTTATAGATATCACAATCCAATAGAAAATGTGATAAAAAGTTAAACATAATTCATATATAATATAAAATAAGAAGAAGAATTGTGAATTAAAAAAATCCCATAGAAACCTGCAAAAAAGTGTCAATTTTTTTTAGCAATTGTACAATATAAAATAATTTAATAGATTTCTAAATTTTATCGAGATGAAAATAATATTAAATTTGCATATCGCTATTGAAACAGACTGAAAAATGGTTTGTAGTCAACTACAAACGGTCTTTCATCTGTGTTATTTATCTGTTAATAGAAAAACTAAACAAATGTATATATATATAGTAAATTACATTTTTAAGATCCATATATTTATATACATATATATAAATATAATAAAGATAATAGTTCTGGCTTTTCTAAATCTCAAATCACCATTATATTTGTGGTTTTCTAAATGGAAAATAGTTTTGGGCTTTTCTAACTCAAATCACCATTATCATATAAATTTGTGCAAGTAACTGATAGCAAAATAAGGTAATCATCATATTTCCGAATTAACTAATTAGGAAATAAAGAACATACACATTTAATGCAATATCACATGTATATAGTTACCAATAGCTACCAATATCACATGTATATAGTTACTAATTTGATTTGACTTAACTAAAATAAAGATTAAATAAATATCATGAAAATACATGCATATTTAAGCGATAAGTAAAACTAATTTGATATCACTTGACTAAAATAAAAAGTAATTATACTTTAATTTTAATTTAAAAATATATTTAACTCAATATACTCACAAAGTGAATGACTCGACTGATCTAATTTATATCCAAAATTAAACATCTTATAATTTTATAATAATAATATATTTAATTTATACATATAAATTAGAGGTTGACTCAAAGCGTATTAAAAAAAGAAAATATTAATCAATTTATATGCATGATACTTTAAAATATTATCATTATATTCATTTATGTAAATCTGAATTAAACAATGCTTATTATTTATTTCATTTTAAGCACAATATATATTAATTTATACATAATTTAACTATAATATATTTACATATCTAAAGACAATAATCAACCGAAATAAAAATAAGAAAATTAATCAATTTTTATTCTATTTAGAATTAAAATATTATAGCTGAATTTGAAAAAATAGATATTATCCAATATACCAAATTGATAACCAAACTGATTATTGATCAGAAAAATAATTAAACTGATAATAATATATCCAAAGTCATATGTATAATTAGAATAATATAATATTTATTAATATAAATTATACATATAAATTGATTCAAAACTAAAACTAAAACTAAATATCAATCAGTGATTATAAAATTTTAGTTTTATGAATATTCATACCCGTGCATGAGCACGGGAAAATCACCTAGTGATAACTAAGTGTAGACACATTAGACACATATAACTCGTTACAACATTATAACTCAGTACACAAGAAAATGTTGGTGAAAGGAGTTGCTTTAGTTATCGACTTATGGTACCTGTTAAGTGATGGATTTTCATATATATTGAACCTCTCAAAGAAGGCAAGAGTATAATATGTAAACCGATCTACAACAGATACACCAATCTAAAGCAAAAAAAATAAATATTAGAACTGAAGGTGAACCAAAAATCCATAAACCAAAAATTCAAATGGCTACCCGAGGTGGAGACCAACCCGAATAAAACCGGGTTTTACTTTCTGTATATGAAGACTAAATTGCTGACCGTATTACAAATGTCAAACCGGTATTTATATACTGATTAATACTATAGAAAATATGATCCAGCCAAAAATAACTTTGGTTTCAGCATGTACTCTTTAATCCAAACCATGGTTGAATCGTACTGGCTGCCTAGTTAACCAATTAATAACCAACTCAAAATTATATTCGAAAACCGGTTTAATTACCTGAGAGACATCACAGCGGCAGCAAGAGAGACACCCGAGATGGAAATGAAGTTAGGGAGATGAAACAGGACGAAGTGAACAGATGCAAAGATCATGATGAAGTAAGTGAGTTTAATCGATTTACAATTCTCACACACGAGTTCATGAAACTTCTTGAGAGACTTTCCACCTGTGACCATATAAACGATGCAAACGCCGACTTCAACGATCAGCTGTTGCGGAACGACTATGTAGAGTCCAAGCTTCTCTCCAAATGCGTGTTGTCCAAGCTCGTGGTAACGGTCGAAACGTTTTCCTGGAACCATCTCGTGCATCTCCACCATTTGCCATAGTGTGTATAGTGATCCATGATAAAATTAGAATCACCACACCCGGTCCCCTGTTAACCGGTAAAAATTTAATTAGCTTAAGATCAGTTAGCTCAGAGAATTAAGGAATGTAATTGTTTTTTAACTTGCCTAGTTTTAAAATTATTTATCCTAAAATCTTAGGTTAACAATTTTATTTATCCAACAAAACTGAGTATACCACCATATATATACAAAATTTATGTCCCACTTTATTTTTATTTTTCATAAATAGTGTGACATAAACTCTATATATATGGTGGTATACGGAGTTTTGTGGGATAAATAGATATTGTTAACTTAACATTCTAGGATTTATAAGTTTGGTTTTCAAATAAAATAATAGCAGGAACAAAAGTCATTTCGGTTTTAGTTTGGTTGATTCAACTTTGATTGTGTTATGTGTGTTCAGCTTGGTTTAAATAAGCATCCATATTTAGAAATTCAAATGACAAATTTGAGTTGGGTGTTTTGTGTGAGCTTAGCTTACGACCCAAGGTTAATTATGAAAGATGATTGTTAGAAATTGAAAATGAAATAAAAACTTAAATTAGAAAGTGATATACCAGCCAAGCTGAGCCATGGCATAAGGGAGGCTAAGAGCATCCACATTGATGAACCCCCACTTGGGGGTTCACACAAATAAAAAAATATTTTTTTTTAATTTTTGTTTACTTTTTTTTTTTTTTTTAAAAGTTAATAATGGACCAATCATATGTTGACACGTGGTGAACCCGGGGTCATCGGGATTCACCGCGGTGAACTTTTGAGAGAGGGGTTCATAAAAATCTGATTTTAATATTATTATTTTTTCTCGGTTTGCGTGTGAACTCCCCCCATCATCCCTTGATGGGGGTGCTCTAAGAACACCAGCTCCAACCATAGCTGTGACATTGTGAAACGCAGAGTACCACCACTTGGCGTTCCTTGATGATGTTATCGGAAGCCATGCGTCGATTTCTTTCTCTCTTGCTCTTTTCTCTTCCACCTGTTATAAGTTTGATCAAATCACCAACAATATTGAATTATAAATTCTCCTTTTTATGTATTCATGAGGCTGTGAAGTACATATTGCTTAAGGGGACAAAATAGTAACAAATCAAGTTAAAAGGAGACTCCAAGTTCCCAAAACTTAGGCCAAGTCATGAAGCGCAAGATCAAAACAAATCCAAAACTTTTGCTTAACTTGTTGTAAAAGTAATTGCAGCTCAACCAATCACCCACTTAATTGCAATAACAAAAAAAAAATGTTAAAAATCATTCAAAAATTAGAATCTAAATTGTTTTGGTTTTATTATTTCAATTTTGATAGAACTCCCTCATTAATAATAATGGAAAAAACATCGATGGAAAAAAAGAGAAACTAACAAGTTTATCGTATGAATCTTCAGCAGGAGCTTGAGTTTCCATGGTGACTCAGAAAGAGTAAGAGGGTAGAGAGATAGAGACAGGAAAAGAAGAAGACCTTAACAAGTTTCACAAAGGTTAGACAACCTTAATTATATAGACACACACACACATACATATATATAGCTGAATGTCAGTGAATATGACGAAAGATATATATAACAATCAGAAATGTGTACTCTGGAGTTCTTCAGAATCTTGAAACTTGAGAAACTCATCACCTCCATGGCTAGTCATGTAGAGTAAAATATGGCTACCCTCATCACTGAGGAGACGCTTAGACTTTTGATTGCCATAGATGTTTTTAAGACTTGCGTTCGATCTACAGACATTAAGACATCGTATATATATTGTCAATCTTTCCTAATGGTATGAGATTGACATATTTGGCATTTAATTTCCAACTTCTTTCGCAAGTTTTCGAAAATATAATGTAATTTCCAACTTTTGATTTGGCATTTAATTTCCAACTTCTTTCGCAAGTCTTCAAATATAATGTAAGGCAAGTAAATAACCTAACATTAATATCTTTCGCAAGTTCTCGAAAATATAATGTAATTTCCAACTTTTGATTTGGCATTTCACTACAAGAAAACTAAGCATTTACTAGGAAATTTTACTAGGAAAATTCTTCCTCGTAAAGTTACTAAGCTTTTACTAGGATCTTACGAGGAAAGCAAATTTCCTCGTAAGCTCCTCGAAAACTTACGAGAAAATACTTTCCTCGTAAGACCTTAGTAAATTTACGAGGATCTTACGAGGAAAAAGTACTTTTCCTCG